GATTGTAAATATACAGTCTGAATATATTGAAAAGGTCAAATGTAACGTGTTTTTCTTTCGTCAAAGTTTCTATACATTTGAGTGACCTTCTTTTGACTCAAGTTCACGAACACTAACATTACATATCTATTGTAAGTTTCACGGCTGCTTGAATACAACGAAATTTGTTCTCTCATTTTTAAACAGGGTCAGATTTATCCGCGAATTTCATCCCTTGCCGGAAAATGCTCGTGTGCCTAGGAAAGCCAGGGTCAATAAACGAGATGAAATTACCATCGAAAACGGCGTTGCTCTGGAGCCATCGTATATGTATACGATGTTAAGATACACCTCTTCCGCCGGTATCTTTCCTGTCGAAGGGCGGCAGGAAGATGCGGAAGAGTTCTTGTCTTGCCTCCTGAATGCCATCAACGACGAAATGCTCGATGTATGTATTTACATATTTTACTTATGATGAATTCTTAATGTTATTATTAAGAAGACTAATGATAATTTTGCCTTTTTTTAGTTAATGAAACTGGCTAACAATGAGCACATCGACATCAACGCGGAGAAGACCGAAGGCAAGGAAGAGGAGTGGAGAGTGATAGGACCCAAGAATAAGGGTTCTATCACCCGATCCACGGAATTAGAACGGACTCCGTTGTCGGACATATTCCGGGGAAAATTACGATCGAGAGTATCACGTCCCGGAGAACAACCGTCCGATAATGTGCAGCCGTTCTTCACTCTACAACTCGACATTGAAGTAAGTACAATTTAATTACTATAAAGAGACAAAATGCGAGATGATTATAAGGATTAAAATATTGTCGATAAAAGCGTCGTAATTCATGTGTGAGCACTTTTTCCACGTTGCAAACCAAAATAGCAGACTTTTAATATTCGTTGGTCGAGTCAATGTGAATATCTATCTTATGATACATAATTAAGAGTATCTCTAACATGACTTTAATTCTTACAGAAAGCGGACTCCGTTAAACAAGCCCTCGATATCCTCGTGAGCAAGGACAGATTAGAAGGCATGACTTGCTCGAGGACGAAAAAACAAATCGAGGCTTGGAAGCAGGTAACTTTGGAGGAGTTACCTGCTGTTTTAATACTCCATTTAAAATGGTTTGTTTACAAATATAACGGATGCTCCAAACTGATTAAGGCAGTTGAATTCCCGATTGACCTTAAAA